CAGGGACCCCATGTCCGTTTTTCTTGTATTCTTTCATTGCTTCGCGTGCAGAGGAGGTGATGATGTTCAAGAGGGCCTCAACCTTGAGCTCGTTTGAATCCGTCATCTTGGGAGTTTGCATGATTCTCCACTATCAGTCGTCCACATTTTATATTCCTCAACCAAATATCACATCCAGATAGCAGGGACGCGAAATGAAATACAGGTACATAGGGAACAAGTTCGAAATTTGGCTTACTCACAAGGTCTTACGATTTTTGTTTTTCTGTTAATTCCAATTTCTGTCCTTTGGGGTAATGTACCCACTAGTTCTGGCGTTGCACGGTGATCCTGAGTTCTTGTGTAACCCCACAGGACTAATGTCCGCCCGTGGTCCATTGAACAGGAGCACCTTTTCCATTCAATCACTTTGGTTCTAGCCTAGTGCATCATGAAAACAAAAAGACGACCGAACACAGACAGAATCAAAGACGGGCCCGGACGACGCCACACCAATCAGCTAGCCGTAATTGTAAGGAAGCTTCAAGGAAAGATGGAGCCATGAACGCTTCCCACGGTATCGCGCAACTGCTTGCTCAAAGCCCCAGTTTACATATTCCTACAGAAGATGAATCATCTATTATTCAGCAGGACACAGTGTAGATGGGCTTCCAAGTTGGCTTGATGCTACGTCAACGTGGACCTTGCTCAGCTGTCGATTGTTATTTATCTCGTTTTGTTTTTACTTTTGAACTCTCAACTTGAAGTATAAAAGTCTGGGTTTCGGCTGGTTCTTGTGCTGTCTCTTGCGTATTCTTATTCACTCCGTCTGGTTCCTATATCGTTTCTGGTGCGTATATGACTTGTAGTTCGTGTACCGTAGTCTTCTTTGTTATTATTTGGTTTTTTGTCATGTATTAATCCTTGCTTCGCAAGGTAAAAGAAATTTTCATATCGAATTCTCGAACATTATTTTAGCCGTTCAAGTGGAAGCGACAGTCGGGCCCTAAATGGTCGACTGCCCCGCACGGATAGGAGTTAGAAGACATTCGGCGTACCGTCCAAATCGCATCTCAAGATCCCAAGACTAATATTACAAAAATAGAGAGAGAGCCTCAGAACACGTAGTGCATTAAGAATCAGAATAATGATGTAAAGGGACGGGGCCGTCTGCGCGATGTCCTCATGTTTTTTACGCTAGGATAATTAAAGCGCACATTCCCCGCCGATGATATCATTGCATAATTCCCGCTACCGTAAGGGAGTGGGTTATTAGCGGTACACGGCGTATAGGTATTCCATAGCAGTATTGTGGGTATTTAAAAAAGAGATAAAAAGTGGGACAGTGATAGCATAGAAACAGAAACAATGCTGCTTGAAGTCATTTGAGGAGTGAATATGAAGACAAAACATCAATGCATACAAAAGTGGGATGAAAAATGTTCTAGTACTAGAGCTGGCCGTCGCATGCAGACTTGACCGAGATCCGGCAACCTGTTGCAAGCAGATGGGCCCTCGTCGTATTTCTGGTGTGAAATAGTTAGCTAGAAGCACCGGCACTGAAGTCTTACCTTGTACTGATTTGACGCCAGTTATCGGTTATGCTGCACCACATAAGTATTTGACAAGTCAGGATTATATTTACCCCACTCCTGATGGTAGCGATATTCATGTCAACGTTTGCATACTAATACCAATAGCATACACATAAACATAAGAATTCACCAACGAGAAGTAATTCCGAGAGAACACGAATAAAAGGATAGAGAACGAAAACAAAACAAGAAGGACTGGTCATAATTCACGAAACAAAAAATAAAAGTAATGTGCATGGGGAAATTTTCGGAATAAAAAGATTAAAAAAAACTCATCCACTCACAACCAATACGATATGTATCAAAAGTCTCATGAAGCCTCCCTGCTCATTTCCAGTAAGACAGATGCGTCAAATAAGATCGTGCAAGTCCTGCTCTGCTGTCTCTCTGAGTCTCCAGTGGGATCAAATGGACATCACATGCCAGTGTGCATAAGGCGATGCTCGATCTACTGATGAGCAGTGGTATTTGCAACCGTTCGGAGCGGCCAGCACCACATTCCCACAGGCAAGTTCCCATCGACTGTCGGAGCCGAGCACACATCCACGATAAGGTCACGCAGAATCGTGCCCGACTCTGCAACGCGAAGAGTAAACTCTTCTGGAATGCCTTCATATTCTTGAATCGTTGTGACACATGCATGACCTGCGAGATGCATGTCGTCGAATATCTTCTTGTGAGCATCCCACCAGCTCTCCATGGGACTCTCAAATTCCAATCCTGTGACGACGACCACGATTGGGACTTTCTTCTTCTGGTAGGTCCGGGAGTAAAAAGTCTTGTAGGTGTCAAGGATAGCGCGAGGGGAAGTCGATTTGCGTACGCAGTACATCAGAAGGTCGATGTCATCCGATGGTGACTTGTGGAGCTTGTCCAACAAGTTCCTCAGCTGTCGCTTCGCTTGCTTATGTGGCACTGTGCCTGCAGGTCCTTCATTTAGACCCGCCGTATCAAACAGGGCGAATCTCTGGCCGGAGATGTCTACCGAGTAGGGTCTAGATTCAGAGGTACGCCCCACTGAATCATTGGAGGTCTCTGCAACGTTCTGTTGCGCAATAACATTAATGACTGAACTTTTCCCTGAGCCGGTTTCGCCGAATATGACAATATTTTTTTCTCGTGGATGCGTCTGCTACGTTTGATCAATAAGCTTTCTTTTTGGCGATACTACTCAAGAAGCAGAGCACGTACTTCACGTCTGCTTGATGATGCAGGTGGTGCCGGTATGACAGATGATAGCGCCGCCGCCGAGGCGTGCGCAGGTTGACCGTTCATGCTCTAAAAAGTCAACTGGATTAGCGGTGATCGTAAGACTTTGAATCAACTTTTATACCTCATCAGTATCGCCTAGTACTTGCAATTTGAGGGATACGCGCTGATTTGTGACATCCGAATTGAATGCTTCAGAATCAGTGTTAGTAGGTGATGGTATTACTGAAGGTGAGAACTCACTAAGCTGTCTTTCTTCGAGCAACTGTCTGAAAGTCGTGTCAAACGCGCACACAACCTCTGCTCATGTAAGGCGTGAATTTCGAGGCGAACTGCTTTTGATTTGAAGATAGATATGAGCCACTTGGAAAACGTCCGAGGGTGTTCATGTATGGTGAGGGTATCGTTCCAAGAAACACTGTGGTCGGCTATTGCTGCCTTGACGGTCGTGGTGTTATACTGACCATAGGGAGTAGAGACGTGGACATAATAACTGGCGGGTATGCGATCAGGTGGCATGGGAAGCCCCGTGCAAGTGATAGATGTGAGTAGCATATGTATTGATTGAATAAGAGGCGCTGCCTTGCTTAAAGAGTGACAAGTACCAGCCTGAGTTGGTGAAATAAAGAAAAAGAAAGCGGGATGAAGTGGTCATTGTAGCAAAATTAATGGAGCTTTAATAGCGGGATGCGCCAGGGCTGCGTCGAGTCGGTTCGGGTGTTTACATGGGGCAGTACGCGAAGCTAGCTACCAAAGAACGGTGACGCTCATCCGCTACGCCGGTCTATCGATACAACCGTAGCTGCAGTGCTCGTAAAGTTAGAGCACTGTAAGAGCTTGCACTGCCTAAGCCTTATCAAGACAGAGTTCTCTTTAGTCTTCCATATATAGAAGGAAGATTCTAGAAGAAGAGTCATTGATTCGATGATCAACAACCTGAATTAATGCTCTTTGATCACTACTACCATCTCCATCGATTAATCACTTTCTTACATGAGCTGTAGGACACCGTCGACGGTCGAATGCTTGAAAATACTGGTATGCAAATACTCCAATATCGGATATAAGGCAGGGTCCAGGCATCGTGACCCTGAACCCCATGCTGTGCGATCGATATCGATTGTGTCATTTATATATTGTTGACAATCATTAATCGCTTCGAATTCTTCTGCGAGGCGGTACCCTCCATGTCATAATATTAATGTGGTACGTTGGGTTCTCTTCAAGCTTGAAGCTTGAAGCGCAGACTATCTCGAGTACGCATCACACCGCAGCCCTGGTAGGCTGGTAATATGACATTTGCCTGCCAAACCATAATGCCCTTTAGTCCCTTTAATATCCACTCCCATCCACACGCTCCTCCTAACCGACTCACATGACCGAACCCGGTCCCCAATATTTATTTGCTCAATTGCCACCGCGCCCAAGGCTCATATTTACTTGTAAGTATCACAGATAAGAATGAATTTTCGGTCGGAGCATCAACGAAAAGTGGTCACGAGTTGAATTAGCGCTAGAGTGCAGTAACGGCGATGCCAACCGAACACTGCGCAGTGCGCACTAGCCCCCTTCAACATGTTCGTTGGCACACGAGCGCGCGTTAGCACCGCAAGACAATCAATTAGTGTCTGTTCGAGAATGTTCTTTTTTTTCAAAATGTGGTCATTGCAGTATGATTCTGGCAAGTGGTATGCGCACAGTGGGGGATAACAATTAATAATCGTCACCGTCTATATCGTTCAATCTTGAGCAATAGTGGCATCGAGGGAGTGGTTACCACTCTCCGTACCTCTAGTGAGGTCTCTACCACGGACAAATCGAATTTTAATCTGGTAAAAGACCTTCAAAGATGTAGTAGCCGGAGTGGTCACGACTCACGCATATAGTCCGAGAAGATTTTGTATATAGCAGGTTAAAATATACCTTCCGTCATTGGCTACGATGTTATCTTCATTCGCGTCTCATGTGTGGCGATCCGCGGCTGCAACCACAGGTCTGTGAAAATAGTCCCGACAGAACAGGTTACAGCGCTACTAGCGGGAGCAAGAACCCGGAAAAAAAACCAATTGTTGTAGCCTGCGCAAAGTCCGCAGATATCCTTCTTTATATGTCGGAAGGATGTGATCTCTCCTTAGCTGAATGAAGGGTCCCGTACCAAGACCACACGGCCAACAGCTCCTGTAGTTATTGGCAAGTCAGGTTAGAAGCAAAAACCATAGCCCACCGCGAGGGTCGAACTCGCAGCCTTCAGATCACAATCGCCTAGCAGTAAGAGTCTGACGCTCTATCCGATTGAGCTAGGCGGGCGGTATGGACATCGTTGGCCCTGTCAAACACTTCGTGGGACCAATGTGTATAGATGGTGGAGGAGGGCGTACTTGACTGTGAGTAACGCAGTGTTACAGTACACTATGTCATAATGTATAGTGACGGGAACTGCCTTTGTTCTATACAATATGAGACTACCAGATAATTCAAACAGTGCGCACTGCTTGTCCAGAAATCAATACATTCAGCAAGTACATCGAAATGGTATGCTACTTGGTATTCCAGAGTTTGTCTAATGTAGCCTGCTTTGCATTCTGCAACTCCTCGCGCCGTAGTGCTGCTTGAAATGCACGAGGTTTGTGAACAAGATCAAGTGGGGAATCAGCACTAACTCGCGCAATACATGCCGCCTCGAGCTTTTCGCACAGCAGAATCAGTTCAGTAGCACAGACCTTGGGTAAATCATCCCCGTCCTCATCATCTGATTCCACTTTAACCAGCTCCCCACTCCTAATTGCTTGCCGATGCTGAATTTCTGCAACAATTGCATCATCATCTTCATAAGCAGTTGCTTCCCCAACATTGTTCTCTTCATGAGGGTCGAGAATCTCGTCAACAGTCAGTGGTGCACCAATGATCCGTCTCCGTGTTGTAAGCTCCTGGGTGAATTTAAGCGCCCCCTCTTTCCGTGTCTCGAAATGCTGAACAACACGATCCTGGGGTAAGTCTGGATGTTCATCAATGCATGCGTGTTTGCATACATTGATGAACATCCAGACTTACCTCAGGATCGTGTTGTTCAGCATTTCAAGACACGGAAAGAGGGGGTGCTTAAAACACCATCAGCCAGTCATTCAAGATAAGGTTCTTGGCGTATCAGACAGCTTAGTAGATGTTGCGGGACCATTTTTCTGGCTAGGTGTCTTCGGTTTCCACTTGTATAGGCAGGTTTTGGACGTGACTGGCGTTTCTTAGGGCTGCGCACCATTGGGATTAGAATTAATCATCTTACACTGTTGTTATGCATCAACTTCCGGCGACTCAGCAGTAGCCCTACTCGGTACAGACCATATCTCATAATGTATATCGGACCTTCGAAGGCTATGCATTATACATTATACAATTTTCTGGGCGTCTACCCGCATACCACGACGGGAACTGCCAAAACTCGATACAATGAGATTTATACACTACTAACGTATACATTATGAAAAAGTCTATTGTAGCACCAAATCTACACAGTAAATATCAGCACGAAATCAAAATCAGACAGATAGAAAAAGAAAAACTATAGCCCACCGCGAGGGTCGAACTCGCAGCCTTCAGATCGCCTAGCAGTAAGAGTCTGACGCTCTATCCGATTGAGCTAGGCGGGCGATATCTGGGCGTCTACTCAAACCGTTAACAACGCCACCTCGCCTAATAAGGTGTAGGACACCGAACCTTATCTCAGCCACTATACAGTTTTTCCAAACACGGCAACTCTGCTATGGCGGGTGATTCCTGACCAGCAAGGCCTTCAACGCAAGCAACAGTCCGGCAAGGTAAGCCAAAGCCTACGCCTCCTCGCTACGCAATCCAACCTTCGTTTTAGCCTCAAGCAAAAATTCAAAATGACCCACGACGCTGTTTGGTTCTCTCGTCCTAGAAAGTTCGGAAAAGGTTCCCGCCAGTGGTGAGTTGGGTAGTATCGTCTGTGTCGTGGGTTGTTGAGCGATGGATATCTAGCCGCCTCTGTGCGCACCAGGCCGGTCTCATCCGCAAGTACGGCCTTGACTTGTGCCGTCAATGCTTCCGTGAAAAGTCAGCTGCCATCGGTTTCGTGAAGGTGAGTGTCATAGCGTTTGAGCGTGAAACAGCAGCTCATGTTCGACGAATAGAACCGGTGAAATGTATCCAGTCGCGCACCTGCATCTTATATCATCATTCTCTCGTCACGCTTCTTTATCTTGCCAGATCATTCGGTTGTCTTGTATGTCACTATGATAATATGCCAACAAGACTAGCATGACATGCACCCACCATTCAATGCGGAAACACCACCTCGTACCATTGAGACGCAACTTCGCTGCCCGTTGTAGCACAGAAATGGGCCATCTGGCTAGTTCAAGCGAGCACCACTACTACGTTGAATGGTTCAGTGTTTGACGTGAGGGTATCTTAAGAATTATAATGCCAGTCTAACAGAAGACCTAAAAGACAACGACGTCATAGATTGGACAATAAGTACAGAAGGTAATGCTGCGACGGTTTAATCATTAAACAGACATTGCTTTAGATGACGGGGAAGATTAAGGCTATACAAATGGGTGTGGCAGATAAGGATGTATCAGAAAGCAACTAATAGCAATGGGGGGTTTGGAGTATGCCGATGCGGAAGTACAAATGCGCAATGGTATGATAGAAGTCGGCCCTTGCTCATGATTGAAAGATCTCCTAAAAGATAGTGAGGTCGAGCCGACGTGGTTGTGAGGTATCGAGCAAGGACATAGAATATACATTGAAACCATTAAAGAGTGACTGCGCAGGTGCGCAAAGAACGAAAGAGTAGAAACGTCCAAAGCGGTGAGTGATGTGCCCGCTCTACATGCCATAGCCGTAGCTCTGATAAGGATCATTCAATGACCCGGCAACACCGACTGTGCCAAAAGGGCTCACGTTAGCATATCCAGCGACGCCCGTGTAGCCGGAGGCGTGGGTATGAGGAGGTGTCAGACTCGCGCTATGAGGAGAGGTGCCTTGCAAGACATATCCGTCGATGGAACGCGCCTGAAGGCCATGCATTTGGGGGCCGAGATGAGAGTGGGCGTAGGAGCCTTGGCCTTGCATACCATACAGGCCTCCCTGAGCATAGACATCAGCTACGCTAGTAGGGTGCATTCCTTGAGGGATGTGCCGAGCTCCTGCGGAGTGGTGACCGTGAGTATGATGACCGGGGTTCCCAGCATGATGACCTTGGTTGCCCATGGGCATCATGCCTTGAGGAGCATGGTAGCCAAAGTTCTCAGCGTTGGCCTGTTCTCGCTGCAACTTGTTTTGGATTCGCTTGCCGTAAGGAGTGTTGCGAATTAAAGGAAGGACTGGACGAATGCCTTCAACGAGGAGCATGCGCTGCGCAGGCTCAGCATAGTCTAACGCAGTCTACAAGAATGTCCAGCCCAAACCACAAATGCGTGAAAGAAAAATAGTACCTGCACACAATAGTTGCCATACGAGTCGCGAAGAAGTTTTTCCAAGCGGGAGCGATTGAGTAGCTCTTCGATCAAAATTTTCCTGGTACTATGTTCGGCCACACGGATGCACTGGTCCCAATCGGTATGAGAAAATTCATTAAGACGGAAAATGCTCACCTTCTCAATGACATTGGAACTAAACTTCTGGACAGAAAGCGCACAAACGTTGCCTGTGAATTGCCGAATGACGGCATCACTAAAACGATTGTCGTTAAGATCCAAGATATATTGGACAACCTAGTAACGAAACCTGTCAGGTGTTATGACTGATGAGTAACGTGGCACCAACGTAGTTGCCGTAAGGGTCTTGAACGAGGGTTAGCGCGTTGTAAGTGATTTCATTCACAAGCTGGACGCGCTGGTGGTCCGAAGCATGATCGATGCAGCGCTGGAGCACGCAGCATCCGTGGCGGTGGGTAGCGACCTCCACGCAGTTGGCAGCCACTGCGTTGTATATAAACTACCGCATCAAAATCAGTCTACTAACACCATGATGTAACACCACCATACTCACCTGGTTATCTTCCGGTGCAAGCTTGTTCAGACATTTTTGAATAACGTGGTTTCCGTTGAGATCCTTGATGAGCACTACAACATGAAGGCTGAGCGCAAGAATAATAGAATGAATCTGAGTGTTGTATCTATGATCAGTCTGCGCTCTACTGTAAGTCTGGAAGATGAAAATCCGCTAAAAGCGACTTGCCTGGCGTCTAGTGGACAAGAAGTCAATCATTTTCTGCACTGCACGGGTACCATGCATGTTCAACGAAATGTTAACAAGATCTTGAGCGACGGACTCGCAAATGACATTTCGTTGATCATCTGTGGAGAATTCAAGGAGCTTTTGGCACAGGTAGTTGCCAAAGGGGTCAGTCATGAGGTCCGCAAAATGACCGAATGTTTCCCGGAAAATCATGTCCCGGTGTTCAGGGACACCTTCCTCCAGCTTCTTTTGCAGGTAGCGGCAACCATGCTGGTCTTTGCAAAGTGTGGGTATTTCGCCCTGAAGGTCTTCTAGGCGTGTGCCAGCAAAACGGTTCACTATATAAAGGGTAAGTAAAAAATAACTAGCTTGAGAAGACAAATGGCCTTACTATCCATGTCACCCCTCTTGTGCTTTGGACCGTGTAAACCGTTCATCTTTCCATCAGCGCCATTGCCACGACCAATATGCAGTCCGTATCGGGTTCCATTATGATGGTAAAGGGCGGTCGAGCCGCTCGCGCCATTGACGCTATTACTAGACCGGGTGCTCGAGTCGAGGTCATAGGAATTAAACCGACCGCTGTCCATCTGACCGTTCAGCCCATAAACATCTTCGACACCATATTGTTCGAAGCCCATTGAAACATTGTCATACTGTCCGGATGACATGCGAGAGAGAGATGGTTGAATGTCACTCTTGCCGGAGTCCTCGATTATCGGGTAACTGCCTTGCGAAGAAAGCCGTCCGCTCAGAGCCTGAGAATCAGGAGTATGAGGAGTGCCAGGAGTCTGCAGAAGATGCCCGTTGCCACCGTTCGCCATAGACATAGGCGTAGCTGGTACCGAGCGCGTCGTGCTCATGGCAGGGGAGCCCCGCCTAGATCCAGGTGCCTGCCCAGTCGACCCAAGAGACGCTTGTGCATGTTGGCTTGCATGTGGGGTCACAGCGCCACCGCCAAGGGTGGTGGTAGATAAATCGATGGGTGAAGACGTCAGTGTCAAAGTTGGGTTGGTGACAGTACGGCGATCGTTACGGGAACTCAGACCATCAGGTACGCGTGGGTTGTTAGAGAATTGTGGCCACTCAGAGTGCTTGTCACC